TGACATCCCCCCCTCCCCTGGGCTGCATAGTCATAGTTCCAGAATGAGCAGCTCGTCACACCCTACTATAATTGCTTTTATAATTGTTCACTGTACAACTAATAGATGAACATACACTAAGACATTATGTGAATTTATGATTAGGCTATGTATACTAAAATCATGAGATAAATTAGCCCTTATTAGTTTATATTTAAACTATAATTGAATATGTAAATAGCAAATTAGTATAATATATTGATACCATCTGCTGTTCTAATTTTGTACCAATTTTTTCATCCATCTTAATTCAAATAGGATTGAATTTTCCTCCCACCTATGGTTGTTTTCATTAATTATTCTGTTTTCATTTAAAGATCATTGAATTGACCATGATCTTAATTATAAAAAATAATTTATAGATAACAGAGTATGTGTGATGTTCTCAATAGGTCAGTCCTAGTTCTAGCTTTTTATACTTTGAGGCTCAAGAATTTTTTTTCCAATAACAAGGCTGAATTATTACTAATAAAAACATCAGGGAGAAGAGGAAAGGAGAGGGGAAGGAAGGAGAAGAGAGGAGAAAGAGGGGAGAGGGGTGGAGAAGAAAGGGGAGGACAAGAGAGGGGAGGAAAAAGGAGAAGAGAGGAAAGAAGAGAGAAGGGAAAAGAGAGGAAAGAAGAGGAGAGGAGAGGAGAGAAAAGGAGAATAGAAAAGAGTAGAGGAGAAGACAAGAGAGGAAAGGGGAGGAGAGGAGAGAAGTTCCATATTAGAACTAATGTAGGCTATAGTTTTTCCTATAATTTAACATGTATCAAGACTGAGCTTGTCCTATAATAATGGCCTTAGTCAGAGAATAGGAAAAAGTAATGAAGACGAAAAAACTAGTGATAATAAAGTAAACAAAACAAAGAATCTTATCTGAAGGTCAGCCTTCTACGTATATGTATGTGTGTGTATCACACACACACACACACACACACACACACACATACATGGATAGAGTGTTTAGTATATCAATGAAAGGAGTAACATCTAATACAGTGAGATCCTAGGTATCTAAAAACATAATTATATTATTGTGAGTCGAGGCCAGATTAAGTAATTAAGGAAACCCCTAAGCTAAAGGCAATAAAAATGAATAAACAAACTTTCCATTAAAATAATTACCTAGAACTTGAACAATGTTAGCATAAAAGATCTAATTAAAATTCCTTGATACAAGACTTATAAATTATAATACTTACTCTTAGAAGCCAATGATCTCCATTCCTGGATGCAGAACTGGAAACGACAGTGGGTTTGGAGTATTTACTTTTCAAGTTACTACCTATGTGACTTTGAGCAAGTCATTTAACTTCTCTGGGCCTCAGTTTCTTCATCCGTAAAGTGAGGTGTTTAAAATGAGCCTATCCCTTCTGGCTCCAAATCTATGGTTTTATGATTTGGGTTCAAATAAAACTTAACCACTAACTACCTGAGTGACTTTCATCAAGTCAACCTCTCTAGGCCTCAGTTTACCCATATCTAAAACGAGAGAGTTGGAATAGATCTTAAAAGTCCCTTTCAGTGCTACAGCCAACGTTTCTAGGGTTTGGCCTCTTTAAATCTCACTTAACGTCACAACCTCTTGCTATAATACTCTAGGTTTCTGGTTTCCTTTTACGAGTTGAGCTTCAGTATATATTCTCATGCAACTACCAAGCAATCCACTTAAGTCCAAGTAATTAAGCATTGCTGTGCTGCCAGAAAGCTAGGAATTGGATACTAATGGAGGCAAACAAAAGAAAGTTTTATGAACTTGAAATCTGAAATTTCTTACTCCTTTTCTACCCCACTCCTACCGAAACTTCTCTTTGCCTAACTTGCGTTATCTCCTGTCTTTGCCCTTATACATGCTCCCTTTCCTTCTCAGGCCTCTTCCGTTTTCATTTATACTCCCAGACACACTGGACCCCATGGCCAATCATTTCAGTTAGGCCCCCACTTATAAGCTCCTTCAAATTTCTCACTCATTTGATCTTCAAAAGAAAACTCTTGCTAATTCCAAACTAGGAGTAAAACCCAGCTTTCCTGGCTCTTAAGCTGGCAAATATTGTTGGAAAATATTCTGTACTGCTGCTAACTGACTCTGCAACAAATTCATGCTATTAAGGTATTGTATAGTCATATAACAAAGTGTCTGAGGTAGAGATGTGGCAAAATGAGAGTATATTTCTTAAATGTGATCGGATGGGAGAGCAAAGGAGATAAAAAAAGGAAGAAGACAAGAGAGAGAAGAAAGAAATAAAGAGGAGCTAGAAGATAGAGTTCATATTTAAGACCTTTTGGGAAACAACCAATAGGTGAAGGTAGTTCCTGTTTGTAATAAAGCTTTGGCAGAAATCTGATGTTTGTTAGTAAAGGCAGCTGAGCAAGCTAGCATCACATTAGGAGAAAAATTGAAAAATCTGCTACAAATAAAGCTTTGCTAAGGGGCCAGTGGGGACAAAAGGCAGTGAAATAACAATATAGGAGCAGGTGTCTGAAATCTGATGCATACAAAGAAGATATGAGAAGAAGGGAGAGGAGACCTGCGGAGAGGACTGGAGTGAAAAGAAGAGAAAAGGAATGTAGAGGAAGGTAAGAAGGAAAGGGTTTGGTAGGAATCAAAGACATTGGAACTTGCTAGTATCTCATTAGAAACCCCAGCATGGCAAAGGGTTCCACAGTGTTCAACTCCAAGAGCTACCAAGGAGAATCAATTGGAACTGAGAGACTTACTTGCAGCTGGTACCAAGGGGCAAGGAGAATTGGAAGAGAGGTGCAGTGGCAATGTATGCACAAAAATGTAAGCTGGTCACTAAACTGGAGGAAAAGTTGACAGAGCAATTTGTCTCAACACTGTAGCCATCAGAACTAAATGTTGCTTTAAAGAGTGGAAGAGCAATACAAATAAAAAATAAGATCCAGAACAGCAGGGAGTCATAATCTATATTAGGAAGATGGAAGAAAATGCAGAGAAGAAAGGGAAGAAAATGAGCCACAGAACATTTGAACCCAGGTAACAGGAATGGTGCCTTCCTTGTGGAGGGAAGTTTGTGCTTCAGAGAATGGTGATATAGATCCATAGCTGTTATCAGGAAAGAGGAAGAAGAGATGCATGGATGTTTGATGGCCAGATGAGGAATAACAAGGAAACTGTTCTTCAACTGTAAACAACAAAGTGGTCTACTGTTTTCCTGTCACATGCATCTAGGAATGATGGGAGAACTCCTGAGACTGGTCTGAACTAAATGTCATTGACTTCTTTGGGTGATTCACAAGGGGATAAATGATGCCGCCAGTAGAAACCTAAAAAGTCCTGGGCTGTAGGAGCGTAGGTAGGATATAGATAAAAAATATAGTTGCTAGAGTCATATGAATTTGACAAAGAGACTATTACATATAAATCACGCAAAATAAAAATTCCTACATGTAGCTGCCAAGCTAGATAACAAAGAGTAACAAGTACAACTTAGGAAGAACATCAGTTAAGAGGATCAATAATTCACAGAAGACAATACCCCAAAAGAGAGTCCAAAAAAAAAAAAAAAAGAAAGAAGCACAACCTCAACTCTCCATATTCAAATCAAGCACAATCAACCAACAAACATTTATTTAGTGCCTAGTGTTTTCAGGTGCTCTGCTAGGTTCCGATTACACAAAATAAAATGGGAAAAGTCCCTGATGTCAGGAATTGAAGTGAGCAAGATAAACACAAAGATGGAGATATCTTATAACAAAGACGTAACTTGGATCTCATGGGAAACTCTTGAAAACAACATGATAAAGAAACAATGCTAACAAGTGCAACAAAAAGAAAAAGGCAAAAGTATCCAAAGACAGGCTTGTAGATGCCAAATAATTTTTTTTAACAACTTAGATTTTTTTTTTAATACATGTAAAGAATATAGTAGCAAGGACAAGTAACAGAGGTTAAATAGAAAGGTGTGGCACCACCTTGTAGAAAATCTGAGAGAAGCACTAAGGTTCGGAGTGAGCTGAGGCTGTCAGTAAATACTAAGGATGATATAAGGCAGGTAATCAGAAGAATCTGAGATCAATTTGAGCAGTTCTTCAATCAGCCTGATGAGATCAGAGGGACTGGATAAGACTAGGTATTCTCTGAAGTCTCTCTCAATTCTGAGATTCTGTGATTATGAATTTCTCTGCGCTCTAGTGCTTGGCAATTATTTTGCTTATCTCTTTTCCATTCCCTTTCACATTCCCAGCAGAAGTACTTCTAGACAATTTTTCCCTCTCCTCAAATTCCCAGCTCCCTTTTTCAACTGCCCCCAACCTTTATGCTCAGCAGATGCACTTCTTTCTTTTCAAGGTCACAAAATGTGAGCTTTTGCAAGTTTCCTCATTACTTCTAAATTGATCTGTATTTTCTTCCGCCCTTTTCTCTTTTACTGTTCTCTCAGAGGAAAAAATGCCCCTTCTCCTTTGTAAGACTAGCTTGTCTACTTAGCTTCTTGTTCTCAACTTTTCCCATCTCTTCTACAATTTGCTCTAGATATCTACCAACTCTCTTGCATCTCCAAACTCTCCTTTCCTCCAACTCTGGCCAACATGAGTCTCACCTATTTTTAAAAATCATTCCTTCTAACCTACTATTCCCTGAGACTACTACTCCTTTCTCATCCTCCTTTTCTTCCTAAGATTCCTGAAATAGCAGTCTATGCTCTCAGCTTCCATAATGTCACCTCCTACTCATTTCTTAGTCCTTTGAAATATGATTTCTTCCTCTACTACATGAGTGAATGAATTAATGAAAAACTATTAAGCACATATATTTCAGACACTGTGCTAAGTGCTAGGGATACAAATAAAAGCAACTAAAATAGTCCCTGCCCTCAAAAAGTTTACCTTTTCAGAGAGGAAGACAGTCATAGAAGGGATTGATGGCAAAGGAGAAATGTGTTGGAGAAGGAAGTCAGAAAGAATGGTGATTGGAGTCACAGGGCAATTGATTCAGATGACCTGGGGAATGGTGGTGTTAATTTATTTATTGTTCTTAGATATGTTGTTGGAAGGAGGGAGGAGAGGGAAGAAATACAAGTGCCAGACATAGCATGCAGATGGCCAGGAAGTGGCTCAGTAGTTCTGAGACTGGGCAAGATATGATGACATGTTCACCAATCCTAGTGACAGGGTTGGGATTCTCAGTGCTAGGTGGACATGGAGACTGAAAAGCAGGCAGCATAGCATCCAGCTGGTCAGGAAGTGACCTGACAGAAATTGTTCTCCAATAACCTTGGAAGGAATACAATAACATACAAAAAGATAAATAAATGTTGGTATTCTTCCCCCTCAGGAGATCTTGGTGATATTTTGGTTAGCATTGCTAAACATAAAAATCAATTTAGAGAATATCACTTAACAATAATAATTTGAACCATACAGTCTGTGAACAAAAATTTATTAAGCACCTACTATGTGGCAGATATTATGCTTAACACTAGAAATATAAAGGAAGGCAAAAGACAGTCCCTGCCCTCAGGAGCTTACAGTCTAATGGAACCATACGTTACCATACAGCAGCATTGTATGTTCCTCAAATTACTTAGATCATTTATATGATTTTTTTGTTTTCTTTCAGTACATAAATGTCACTTCCGACAAGCTGGGAATTCTTGAGCTAAAAATTCCCTCCACCTCTGCTTTTGGGAACCTTCTGAAGCTTGTAGTCTTAGAGACTGTGCCACTGAAAGTCTAGGTTCATACATGGTCACACAGTCAGTATGGTGGAGGAAGGACATGGTGCCAACTCTTCTTGATTCCAAGACTACTACTCTCTCCACTACTCCACTCATTAATTTTAGTTATTATAACTTTATAATCATAATCACATTTATTTCATTTTATATAGTTTTATAGTGACCCTTAAGTAGACCCTGTATATTTCTAAGTTAATTTCCAAATATTTGATTTTTTTTCTCATTGCTATTGTTAAGTGGAATTTCTTTTGTACAGTTTTCTTAATCTTTATTACTAGTAAATAAAAATGCAAATTTTGTGGATTAATCTTATATCATGCTACTTAACAGAATATAATAATTGTCTCTATCCATTTTTCACTGTGATTGATTTTCCAGCCACATATCAAATTTTGGCCTCTTCATTTTAAAATCTTTTATGTCTCTAATATCTGCTTCAGATCTTAAGGAAATTACTAAATTTTCTAGTTCAATATCAAAGAAAAATAGTGAAAATAAGTATCTTGGTTTTATGCCAGTTTTTATTTAGAATGCGTATAAGTTGGGTTTTTTTCCCCATTGACACTTAAGTCAAATCATTTTTCATCAGTTTGAGAAAAATCCCTTTACAACTATTTTAATAGCTTTTTTATGTTGTGAATGAAATTGGATTTTATCAAAGTTTTTCCTGAATCTATTCAGGTAATCATGTCCTTACTGTTGATATTGGTACTATTTTGATAGTTTCTCAGATGTTAACCAGCCTTCTATATCTGTTGTAAAGTCTGCTGATCATGTTGAACAATTTTTGAAGGAATTATAATATTATATTAGTTAATGTTCTATTTTTAACATTGTATCTATCTTAATTAGGTAGTTGAATATTCAGTTCTTAATGCAATTTTCCTTTGTAGTCTAAGACTCTTCACAGTTCAAGAAGTATGGATTTAGAAACACAATCTATTCCAACCATTTCATTTGGCAAATGAGAAAGCAGAGAACCAAAAGGATTCAGTGCCTTGGCCAAAGCCACCCAGATAGTAAGAGTCAGAGCCAAGATTCATTCCCAGGTCCTCTGACTTCAAATCCAATATTCTTTCCAGATTCTGCAACTTTGCTTACAATATTCCTGCCTTATATACCTGTCCTTCTAACTCTAAGCATTCTATATGGCTTAAATCAAACATCAAATCTTCTCCAATATCTTCCCCTCTTCCATAGCACTCTGATGCTCAGTGTATACTATGCATATAATGCCTCGAGTATAGGATTGAAGAAAGGGAGCATGATAAACTTTGATGTGGTTGGGGGAAGTGAAACTTTGTCTGGAATATTGATGGCATCTTCATATGGGAGATGTGGACTTGCCCACTAGCACTTCTTTGTGAGGGTTGAGGACACTTCTTGGGCCTGGGTACCAAGTGACCTTTTCATACTTCATGGAGAATGAATGATTAAGTCACAATGATTGGGGATGATTTGAATGGCTCAGGATATGAATTTAGAGTTACTCTCATTTTTATTGATGAGCTTAAATCTGTCAGTTCCTGCGGCTATGCTGTGGCATGTAGGGAGTCCTGGTGTTGGTGTTTGCCTGCTCCCCCACACTAGGAGTCAGGATCTCCTGATCCTGACAGGAGATCAGGGCAGAGTTGGCCTTTGCAAGTATTCTGGAGCCAGTGGGCTAACAAGAACCAAGGATTAACTTTTCAGTGCATGCTTAACACCCGGGAAAGCATCAAAGGCTACAAATCAGGACTTGATTTATTGTTTTAATTGTCTCTAGAGACTTAAGAAAGTGATGGAGAAATGTTAATAATATAGTTTAAATTTAAAAGTGTGTCATGTGAGCATTTTCCCCCAGAGAACCAGTTGTTAAACATTTACCAGTTTACCAGTGCCTTTAGAAGATGAGGGAATAGCAGAGCATACATTGGAGATGTGCAGACCAGTTAATAGTGGCCCTGTGAGGGAAAAGCCTATGGATCTAGTCTCCTCCCAGGTGAGACTAAGGACAGAGACATCTTATAGTTGCATTTACTTTCACCAACTATCTTGAAAAGTAACAATGGCAGCCCCCAGAGAAGATGAAGCTGCATCTCCTAATCTTCTGAATAGAGAGTGGAGAAGAGGGAAAAAGTAGATCTATAATTTCACTGGTAAAGGGAACAAATCCCCAGTGAAAAAAACTCCCCTCTACAAATGCTCATCACCATCTATTTTCCAATTTATAGTCTTAGAGAGTTGCCTAGGGGTACTGAGAGGTTAAGCAGGTTAATCTATTTAAATTCTCAGTGCCCACAGGCAACCCTCTAGCATAATGGTTATTATTCCTAGCTTAGAGTCACAGAGGCAAAATGTGCCATAGGGCAGGACATGAACCCTATCTTCTTGACTCCTAGGAGTCACTGCCTACAGGGCTTTTAACCTGGGGTCCTTGGTCTTGCCTTTTAAAAAATGTTAATAACTATATCTTAATATGCTTGATTTCAGAACCTTATGTACTTTATTTTATACACTTAAAAGCATTATTCTGAGAAGAGTTCACAGGCTCCACCAGACTGCCAAAGGAGTAATGACACAAACATGAAAAAATTAAGAACCCCTGGCCTAGAAGAAAGTGAATTTCCTGGGGAGAAAAAAAAAGTTGAATTCCTGGGGAGTTCTGGAGAGAGAAGGGGGAGTTTTGGGAAAGTTATACCCTCTTGATGAGAAAAGGACTACACCGAGATAAAATACTAAGTTTCTAATATTGTGCAGTGGTAAGTCATAGTAGAAAATGATATTTGTTATCTAGGTTTTAATTTCCTTGAAAGACAAACAGGGCCTATTAATTGAGACATGATCTACATCTGCAACTCCAGGGTCCTCACAAATCACCAGTGGATACACAGCCAATTTGTTTTTATTTGAGAATTCATTTTGTCAGTAAGCTAGCCAGGCCCTCCACTTCTCTACCTTTTCCTGTTGCTTATCTTTTGTCTATTTTACTGCTCATTAGCCTCTCTATCCACAGGTGGTATTAGATGATCTCTAAGGTCCATTCCAGCTTTAATAGCTTAAGATGATATGAGTCCCTTCAAACTCCAAAACATGATGATTCAATATGATAGCAAAGGGAAGGGGCAGTTCTGAGAAAAAGATGAAGTGGGGAGATGGACTTTTGGGAGCCAGGGCAGTAGACAGGAAATGACTGTAACTTTCCCATATTCATCTCCAGGCAACCATAAAATAGAGCCCCAAAACAAAATGTGGAACAGCAGAACCAGCAAAAAGATGGGGCGAAACAATCTTTTAGCCCAAGAAACTTGTAAGATCAGCAAGAAAGGACTGTCTTACTTGAATGAAAGGGGAGTGTAGTCCAGGACAGGAAATGTCCCAGCAAGCCAGCTACAAACCCCACATCAGCAAACCATCAGGAGATCCTGACCCCCAGTGTGGAGGAACAGGTAAACAGGACTCCCAACATGCCACAGCATAGCCACAGGAACTGACAGATTTCCAATCAGCATAGCGCTGGGCAAACAGGCAATCTTTACAGCAAGTGCCTCTGATAAAGGCCTCATTTCTCAAATATATAGAGAACTGAATTTAGAAGAATACAAGCTATTCCCCAATTGATAACTGGTCAAAGGATATGAACAGACTGTTTTGAGATGAAGAAAGGCATATGAAGAGGTTCTCTAAATCACTTTTGATTAGAGAAATGCAAATTAAAACAACTTTGAGGTACCACCTCCTACCTAACAGATTGGCTAATATGACCAAAAAGAAAAAAAGAAAAAAAAGAAAAGAAAAATAAGTTTGGAGAAGATTGAAAAAACTGGGACACTAATACATTGTGGGAGGAGTTGTGAATTGACCCAACCATTCTGGAGAGCAATTGGGAACTATGCCCAAAGGGCAACCAAATTGTTCATACCCTTTGATCCAGCCATACCACTACTAGGTTTCTATCCCAAAGAGATCATAAAAAAGGGAAAAGGAACTACACGCACAAAAATATTTATAGTGGTCCTTTTCATAGTGGCAAAATATTGTAAATTGAGGGGATGCCCATCAATTAGGGAATGACTGAACAAGCTGTGGTATATGAGTGTAAAGGAATACTACTGTGCAATGAGACGTGATGAGCAGGCAGATTTCAAAAAAACCTGGAAAGACTTGTAGGAATTCATGCAAAGTGAAATGAGCAGAACCAGGAAAACATTGTATGAGTATCAGGAACATTGTGTGATGATCAACTGTCAGTGACTCATCTCTTCTCAGCAACACAATGATCCAAGACAAGTACACAGGACTCAGGAAGTAAAATGCTCTCCATACTGAAATAAAGAACTGACAGACCCTGAATGAAGACTGAAACATATTTTTTTTACTTACTTTCTTCTTTTGTGTGTTTTTTTTCCCCTTTTGATCTGTTTTTCCTTTCACAAAGGTGACTGATATGGAAATATGTTTTACGTGATAGCACATGCATAACCTGTATCAAATTACATACCATTTTAGGAAGAGGGGAAGGGATGGAGGGAGGCAGAAAAATTTGGAACTCAAAAT